TTTTTTTTTGACAGTCCTGGGGCTTGATCTCAGGACACTGTCCCTGAGCTTTTTTGCTCAAGGCTAGCACTCTACTACTTGAGCCACAGCACCACTTCTGGCCTTTTCTGTTTATGGTTCTGAGGAATCAAACCCAGGGCTTCATGTATGCTAGGCAAGCAACTCTACAACTAAGCCACATTTCTAGCCCAAAGGTTCTAATTTCTAATTATACCAAAGTTCTAATTACCACCTTGCTGTGTAACACTGGACTAGGGGTGTTAATTTGATACCTTCCAAACAGAGAAGGAAAAGACTAGAAGGTCTTGAAAAACTCTTTCAGTTCAAAGATTTGGACTATGGGACACTCTGTGTCCTTTCTAGGTCTTGAATTTACCAGGAAGAGGTAAAGAATGACACTGAAAAGTAGGAAAAGTTTCGAAGACAAAACAATTCAGCTGAAGCTGAAGCTGTCAGAAGTGAGTCTGATAACTCGAAAGTTAGGTAAGGGGAAAGGTCACCATGCTATAAGAACATCCTGATCTTGGTGGCTGGCTTTCCTCTTCAGACTACTAGGGTAAGAAGAAAACCATTTGGGGAGTTGGCAGGTGAATTTCTACCTCCCCGCCTACCCAGTGATGGAGTATAAATCAGATGTGGGTGGACTATGACCAAAGGTTATCAAGTCCCCAGGACCACAAGACCCAAGCGCGTATGCTCCCTGCCCCTGCCTCACCCATCGCCGCTTCTTTAGTCAGTTGGCCATGGTACTTGGAACACTCGACCACCATCTGCTGAAGCTCGCCAGCACTGTGCTTGGAGGGCTCCCGGACGAAGGCCTCGGAGCACTTCTTTGTGAAGAGGGAAGCTGGACGGATGGTCTCAGTGCGGCCGTGCTTGAAGGCTGCAGTGCTGCAGGACTCATAGGTGGCCACTGTCTTCCCATACTGCCTCAAGAAGGCCATCTGGAAGGCCAGCTGGGCCACTGCATCAGGGCTCAGCTTCTGCTTCTTTAAGAATTCCTTGCCGCCTCTGTTAAACTGGATACAGTCAATAGTGAGGGTTTTCATGGTCGCATCAAACTTTCCCTTAGCAGCAGCAATGCCAGCCTTTAAGGCATCGTTCAGCTTGAAGCTGAGTTTCTGCACAGCAACAGAAGAGTTGGTAGTGGCTGGCTGGCTCTGGGGAGTGATGGCAGGGGTCTGAGTGCTATCTTTAAACACTTCATTGAAAAACCTGAGCACTGCAACCCCATCGCCCCAAGCGTGCTCAAAGTGGACGGCAGCAGTGCCATCCTTGGCCACAATGAGGTTAAAGGATTTATCATACCAACGGTTTGTGCCATCACCATGCAGCATCGTGTGGGACAAATGGATGAGGTCTTTAATGGGGAAGTCATCCAGACAGAGGCAGAACACAGCAGAGTCCACTTTCCTTAGTGTCTCCTCATTCCCACTCTGCATCAGCTTTTGCCTGAGCTCTGCCCAGATGTCTCGGTTCTCACTGGTCAGGTATGCCAGAGGAAACTCAGGCACTGGGCTATTCTCTGACAGGATATACTTGAGATGTGCCTGGATTTCTGAGGGGTTCACAATGTTTCCATCCCGATCCAGAACATCAAAGACATAGAAATGTCCTTTTCTTAGGACCAGGAGGTGTCTGGCCTTGTCATCTGTAAAGAGCTCATCTCGACTGGGTTTGGGTATACGCGTTGAATTGAAAAGCCGGAAATACTGCGACATATCCAGTGGATATGCATTGACTAAGTAAGCCCCATACCAGGACAGAGAAGAAGGCACAAAGCGTATGAGTCTCTTAAAGGTGTTAGTGTCACTCTTGGCAGGGTTCAGGTGGAACACCTCAGGCTCCAGAAGGCCAGCCCGAAGTGTCTTCAGAAACCGGATGGCAGAAACAGTCATGTTGGTTGCCCTGATGAGCTGGTCATTATATTCAGATTTGGGGTCAGGATTAAATGACATAAATGGATTAAAGTTCAGAACAATGGAGTCTCGAGCAGTTAAATACATATCAAACCATGGACCTAAAAAAGAAGAAGCCAATAACATAAAAAATGAATACAATCCCTAACAATAATACTAAACAAAGAAAAAATTTCAGGCATAGGCAAAGGAAAAGACCTCAAGAGAGTATAATTTCTTGATTGGGGGGGAGGGCTGTGTAATAATGACAAATAAATGAGATCTTCTAGATACAGAAGAATCTGTCACTATCTGGGGAGGGGTGGGGGAGATGGTTTTGCTATGTAGCCAGGCTGGTCTGTACCTTTATCTGCTTGCCTGAGCCTCCTAAATGTTGGGATTCCCCATCATGGTTGGCTAGATGCTGTCTCTTTCAATATTTTGGAGGTTCATCCCTGTTGTGGCATGTATCCGTTCTTCTTTTTAAAAAATGTGCTGAAATAATGTCCCATTGTAAGGATATAGTACATTTTGTTTATCCATCAATTAGTCGACACATAGGTAGTTTCCATTTCTTTCTTTCTTTCTTTTTCTCTTTCTTTCTTTTTCTCTTTCTTTCTTTCTTTCCTTTGTTTCCATTTCTTAGCTGTTAAGAATTGTATCATTAGCTGGGCACAGTGGCTCACACCTGTAATTGTAGCTACTCAGGAGGCTGAGATCTAAGGACTGCAGTTCAAAGCCAGCCTAGGCTGGAAAGTCCATGAGATCTGTGTCTCTAACCACCAGAAAATAGGAAGTGGTGCTGTGGCTCAATGTGGTAGAGTGCTGGCCTTGAAAAGAGCTCAGGAACAGTGCCCAGAACTTAAGTTCAAATCCTAGGACTGGCGCATGTGCGCGCACACACACACACACACACACACACACACACACACACGGATAAACTCTAGATATAGGGCCCATTTTCCATTGGAGGGAATACATTTCACAGGTAAAGCACTGAGAAAAGGATCAATAGATACAAATCTACGTATTGTAATTCACTTGTCTGTTTATTCCTTTCTATTCCTTGAGAGTTGGTACCAAGCCCTGATCCAGGGGATTTGGAAAGTACTAGAAATGGACCTTTAATTCTGAAGAACTCTAGCAACGGAGACAAACAGAATTAAAATATAATCATTAAAATGTAATAGATAAGAAAGACTAGTAGAGCTGGGCACTAGTGGCTCATGCCTGTCTGTAATCCTATTTGGGAGGCTGAGATCTGAGGATCACGGTTCAAAGCCAGCCCAGGCAGGAAAGACTGTGAGACTCTTTATCTCCAGTAAATTACCTAAAAAAGCCAGAAATGGAGCTGTAGCTCAAGTGGTGCTTTGAGCAAAAGAAGATCAGAGACAGTGCCCAGGCCCTGAGTTCAAGCCCCTGGACCAGCACAAAAAAGAAGAACGAGGAGGAGGGAGAGGGGAGACGGAAGGAGGGGAAAAGCAAGGGGGGGGGGAGAAGAGGAGGAGGAGGAGGAAGACAGAAGGAGAGGAGAGGACAGAAGAGAAGAAGAGGAGGAAGAGGAAGAAAAGAAGGAGGAAGAGGCAAAGGAAGAGGAGGAGGAAGAAAGAAGAGGAGGAAGAGAAGAAAACAAACTCATGCTTTTGACACCAACCATGTCCTTTAGTAAAAGAATTTCAGGGCCTGGGGGCTGTACCTGAGCTTTTTTGCTCAATGGTAGGGTTCTACCACTTGAGTTACAGCTTCACTTCTAGCTTTTTGCTGGTTAACTGGAGATTAACTTTCCTGCCCAGGCTAGCTTCAAACCACAGTCTTCAAGATCTCAACCTCCTGATAACTAGGATTACAGGTGTAAGCCACTGGTGCTCAGTAAAGGACTTAAAGAGCCATAAACCAGTAAGGCCAAAAGTAAGAAAAGAAAAAATAGTGAAAGCTTGAAAGTATTTAAGCAACCTATAATGACAAAAACGGACTTAAGAAAGCCATTCTTCTCTATGTACAGGATAAGAAAATGGAGCCAGGTAACTTTAGGGGATGGGTGGACTTGAGGAAGATGGGGTCAACATGCATTGTACTCAAAAACTGGCAGTGCTGAATTAAAACTACTTAAAGGTAATTAAACAAATTAATATTAAAAAAAAAAAGAAAGCCAGCCGGGAGCTGGTGGCTCACGCCTGTAATCCCAGCAACTCAGGAGGCTGAGATCTGAGGATCATGGTTCAAGCCAGCCCAGAAAGCAAAGTCCATGACACTCTTATCTCCAATAAACCACCAGAAAACCAGAAGTGGCACTGTGGCTCAAGTGGTAGAGCGCTCGCCTTGAGCTGAAGAGCTGAGGGATAGTGCCCAGACCCCAGAGTTCAAGCCCCACAACTGACAAAAATAAAAAAATTAATTAATTAAAAAAATATATATGTACTAAATTATGCCAGCATGCATACCTATATACTAGCTACTTCAGGAGGCTGAAGTAGGAGGATTATAAATTTGAGGTCAGCTTGGGTTATACAGTAAGACTGTTTAAAAATAAACAGGGCTGGGAATGTGGCTTAGTGGTAGAGTGCTTGCCTAGCACTCCTCAGTACCACAAAAACAGAAAAAGCCAGAGGTGGTGCTGTGGTTCAAGTGGTAGAGCACTAGCCTTGAGCAAAAGCAGCTCAGGGACAGTGCCCAGGCCCTGAGTTCAAGCCCCAGGACTAGCAAAATAAACAAATAAGCCAAATCAAAAGAAGAGCTTACACACAGAGAGAAAAAGATTGGGAAGGTTTCAGATATGGAAATCTACCTGGACTGCAAAGGAACAGTCTGCCAGATATAAAAATGAAGTGGGAATGGAAACGATCTTGAGTTCAGATTAGCTGCAGTAAGCCAGTAAAGGGAGAATTGTGAGAGATGAGGTTTGAGAGGGCCGAGAGTCCTGATGTGGAGATAGAGGACTGATTCTCCATCTTCTCAAGCAGAACCACTGATTAGGGTCTGTCTCCATCCCCCATATGGAGAAAGCAAGCCAGTGCCCCTGAGCACAGACTCCAATCAACACAGTGGAGGGCAGGAAATCACTCAGCCTTGATATTTACTTCAGGAAGAGGGGGCAGACCATTCTTTCAATGCTGGTCTCATTAAAAATATTCCTGACACCAGAATAGGAGTTTACTATTTGGAATTTGCTCCATTATGGAGGCTCTGAGGAAAAATCATGCCCACAGTCAAGCCTAGGTACCTGAAATGTAGCTTGTATGTTTATTCTGCTTGTCCTGAGCAACCAGCTGGTCATGCAGTTCTTTTCCAATCCCATTTTCAAAACTCTTACAGAATTGTTCTGTTTTCCTGAAATGTTCAAGAAAAAGGCAGAATCAAACCATGGTACAAAATACATGATTTAGAAAATACAGCCGGGGGGAGGGGGGAGGGGGGAGGCTGGGAAGGGATGTGAAGGGTAAACAAAGGAGGAGGCTGCAATGCTTGGTAAGAAATGTACGCATTATCCTGCCCATGTAATTGTAACCCCTCTGTACAGTATGTTCACAAATAAAATTAAATTAAATTAAAAAAAAAAAAAGAAAATACAGCCGGGGGCTGGGAAGGTGGCTCAGTGGTAGAGTGCTTGCCTTGCATGCCTGAGGCCCTGGGTTCAATTCCTCAGCACCACATAAGCAAAAAGAAAAAAGCCGGAAGTGGCGCTGTGGCTCAAGTGGTAGAGTACTAGCCTTGAGCTGAAGAGCTGAGGGACAGCACCCAGGCCCAGAGTTCAGGCCCCATGACCAGACCCAAAAAAAAGAAAAAAAAAGAAAATACAGCCGGGCAATAATGGTTCATGCCTGTAATACTAGCTACTTGGGAGACTGAGATCTGAGGATCATGGTTCGAAGCCAACCTGAGCAAGAAAGTCTATGAGACTCTTACCTCCAATTAACCACTAGAAAATCTAAAGTGGCACTGTGACTCACAGTGGTAGGTGTAGCATTAGCCTTGAGCAAGAGCTCAGAGACAGCACCCAGGCCCATGACCAACAAAAAACAAAAGAAAGAAAATGCATAATTTAGGTTCATGGCCAAGAACTCATACAGAGAACCTGGGACTGAGATCAGAAAGTACTTCTGAATAGAAAAACCACCAAACTTAAAGCTACCAGGCTTAAAAGGAGCCTGTAAAGAAACATATCCTCTGTTTAAAGGGATACTCAAGGAAAACAGACTCCTGTGTCACAATGACCCAAATTCAGTATGACCAACCAGATTTGATATCTTCTCAAACGTAACCACATCCATGTCTGATAGTGTACTATCCTCCCCTTTGCTTTGCTTTAGTAATAAACTTTCTTGGCCCAGCAGCAGTGGCTCACACCTGTAATTCTAGCTACTCAGGAGACTAAGATCTGAGGATCATGGTTCGAAGCCAGCCCAGGCAGAAAAGTCCATGAGATTATCTCCAATTAACCACCAAAAAGTTGGAAGTGGAGCTGTGGCTCAAGTGGTAGAATGCCAGTCTTGAGCAAAAAAGCTAAAAGATAGTGCCTAGACACCCCCCCTCCCCGCAAGGTCCAGCCCCAGGACTGCCACACACAAAAAAACAAAGAACACATGCCCACTGCCAATGTTCATACCAGCCAGCCTCCCATGTGTGCTTACATGGTAAAGTAGGAGTCTAGCATTCTGGTACATGTGTCATCTCTTCAGTCTGCTGAAAGGAAGTGGCTCCTTAAGGCTTGGTGAAGTCCTTCATGAATGAAAGCCTATTTCCTGAACTTGTAAATGCATAAACTAGTTCCAGGCTCCGGAAACCCAATGAAGCCACAGACTGTCAATGAAGTTTGGTCCACCACATTTTCTATCCTCTCTTAAGCCATGCTCTGCCCAACCATGGTCATTCAGGGTTGTCAATGCTTACCTGAACTGACCATCATCCAAAAGAGGCCTCTGTGCACTGAGGTATCTCCTAATGGTGTCTTCAAGTTTGGGGATCGGAAGTCTAGGGAGAGAAAGTGAGATTGATAGGAGGCTGATAAAGTATAGATGACACTAATTATCTTCACAAAACAAACTGGTCAATTATTTCCCTATAAAACACCAACCATGAAAACGTTTGACAAATCATAATTGATGGATAGGGGCTGGGATGGAGCTCAGTGGCAGAGCACTTGCCTGGAGTTGCCTGTAGACTGTCATGGATAACCATGTGCAACCTGTAACACCAGATTCCCTTACATTCACTGATTCCATGGAACCCAAATAGGACCTTAGCTACCTTACAATTACAAAGTTCCTATTTATTTAACATTTCTAAGGACTTTTTTTTAACACTAGGGGTATAAATGGAAGTTTGCTTTTTTCTTTTTAAAGAAAATTCTAACTTAGAGACAATAGCAGCTTGATAAATTAAAAAAAAATCTTTATTAAAACCCCTTAAAGGGCTGGGAAGGTGGCTCAGTGGTAGAGTGCTTGCCTTGCATGCATGAGGCCCTGGGTTCGAGTCCTCAGCAGAGGAATAAGCAGAAAAAGCCAGAAGTGGCGCTGTGGCTCAAGTGGTAGAGTGCTAGCCTTGAGCTGAAGATCTGAGGGACAGCGCCCAGGCCCAGAGCTCAGGCCCCAAGACTGGCAAAAACAAAAACAAACAAACAAACAAAAACAATAAAACCCCTTAAGCTAGGTATGGTGGCTCACATCTATAATCCCAGCTATCCCACAGGTAGAGATTGGAAGGCTCTCAGTTTGAGAAAAGCTTGGGGGAAAAGTTGAGACCCCCATCTCAACAAAGAAGTGGAGGGTGGGGGCACACACTAAATTGTACAGTAAGCTCACCATATTCTCAGATTTATTACAAAGGGTTTTGGCTAAGAGTGGTCAAAAATAATATGTGGTCAAATAATAATATATTAAAAAATCAAAAGAAATTACAAAAACAAAAACTTTAAATCTCTATACATGCATTACACAGCTGAGTTGATACGGGGACGCTCTTAGTCATGTGCTCTTGTTGGTTGTGTTTAAACAGTTATGTCATCTTTCAAGTGTTCCTCTGCCTTTAACTTTGTGAAAAGATGCCTCCCCAAAATCAAATGGTGCTCCCAAAGCAAGGTTAACACTGGTAATCCTCTTATGCCCAAAAGAGCATAGAGTGTGCTTAATTCAAGTGAGTAAGTGAAGATACTGGATTTGTTAAAAGGTGGCAGTTGGGTGGCATTATGGGCAGAGTGAGTCGGGCATCTGCAGTAACATCTCAGCAACATCCTCAGCATTCGTGGTTTTTACTCAATGGCAGGCTTCTTAGAATCATATACCCCTGGATGTCCAGGGTCTATTGTAATCTGGCTACAAAAGCTATAGATAGGAGAATCATGGTCCAGGTGAGCCTGAGGAAAAAACTTAAGACCCTACCTGAGAAAATAACTAAAACAAAAGGGGCTGGGGGGCCTGGTTCAAGTAAGTGATAGAGCACCTGCCTAATAAACGTGAGGCTGTAGAGTTCAAATATAACACCATTTTAAAATTGCCCTTTGCTTGGTAAGCACAAAACCTGAGTTCAAACCCCAGTACTATTTTTTAAAGTTTGTACTTAATTCTCACATTATGTTTTTTTTTCTTTAATGGAGGCTATTAAAAGTCCTTCATTTTATGAAAACCTTGATAGCAGGATTCCTCCTACCCTAATTTTACTGATCTGTGAAACTTACAAGTATAAGAACTACTAAAACATTGGCAAGAAAATGAGATTTGCAATCAAGCGTAGGCTTGGATCCCAGGTCTGTCAGTTTATCTAGTTATGTGGTTACAGTGGCAAATTAGTTGATGTCTCCTAGATTCCACTCTGGCCTATGACCTGGAGAGGATTGCCTAACAGAGCAATCTTGAAATGCTCCCATCAGGTTCCGACCACATCAGTATATGGAGGGATTAAGTCCACTGCTATCATCCCATAGATCAAGTCTTGCATACTGGACTCTGGCATGCAGTAACCATGTGATCCTGGGCAACTTTCTTCTCTCTCTCTGACCCCTCTGTGTTCAGTTGTTAAATAGTTCACTAGGCTGTGATAAGGAGTAAATGAATATACACAAAGAACTCAGCAAGATACCTAACACATAGTAAATACTGAACACACCACACTCACTAATAGTTATTCATATGCTTGTATTCTCTTAGTCCTTCCACTCCTTAGCTTCCTCCCTATTCTGACACCCCCTGCTTTAGAAACAAGCTTTCTGGTTCTTTCTATCCACTCAGCAACATCTAGTAGAGCCTCAGGAAGCTATGTTTCTTCACCAGCCACTTCCACATAAATTTGGGGTTACTCATTCCATGCTCAATAAATGATCCTATACTCTATAACATTTTCTGCAGTTCTTCACTTTTCTCCTCACCTTTCTAATGCTGACTATCCTGAAAATGTCACTCACCTTTGGATTTCTCCCTAAAGAAAGCCACTGTCTAACTTCTGGAAGAGACCAGTAGCCTGATTACCCCCATCACTTACCACAAAGTTAAACAAGTTTCTTTTCTCTCAAAACCAACTGTACCACCTTATCCCCATTTTAATCTCTATTATATACTCAAAGGGGAAGTGGGCAGGGAACAGCTCTCTGGAGATGAAGGCCTGAGCTGTAGTATTTATCAAGTCCTGTAATGCATAAATACCCCACCATGGCCAGTTTCAAGGTACCATCACCGAACACAGGGCCAGAAAGGTTTACAGAATCGGTTCTGGTGATCATGGCTATTAGAAAGGGGCCTCACCACTCCTGATGCTGCCTCTGAAACCTCTTCTCCAAATTCTACTGGCTCATGGGCCAGTACAGAGCAGGCTTTTAATAAACGGAAGCTCATACATTTGCTCAAAAGCCAGTTGGAACACAGAAGCCATCAGCTGCATGTGGTTCTTTAAATTCACTAAATACAATGAAATTTTCAATTCTATAAATAACTAAACAACTAAATGGTAGTTGGAATTGGAATCACTATTAACAAAAACAAAACCCTGCAGCCTCTGCTGGGCAGTTGCATCTTTACCACCTCTCCCCCAGCTAATCCCAATTTGCCCTAACAAAGATGGAAACAAAGAAAGCACTAAGCAGATTGACTTCTCAGTCACAGGCTATCATTACCCAGTCCACTGCCAGCAGCAGCACTTTGGTGTTCTTCCTGCAAGAGCACAGCTAAAAAGCCCTTCCCACTTTCTTCCTCTGATTTATTCTTTAATCTCACAATTCCTTGGATCATTTGTTCAATGCATTTCCTAAACACTTTGTAAATACTTTGTAAAAACACTCATAAGGGGAAAAAAATCAAGTAAAAGCCCTTTTCTATATGTACAGACCTAGAATATAATTGGGATAGTGTGCACCAAATTGCTTGGGAATAAACTATTCTGGAAGTCAAGGTCAGTCTAAAAGTCATGCCTTTGGGGGTCACAATATTAAGGTGTCTACCCGTTATCTTTCACATTCCTGGACACACTGCCTCTCCTGCCTCTAACATGAATTCTAGAAGCCTGCGCATTATGGCTTGAACTCTAATTATCACTCAGTGGTTAGGAATTAAAAGAAAACAAAAGATAGTTGACATTTATTACTCTCTCCCCCACACACTCCAGGCCAGTTCTAATAACTTAGGCCCAAATGGTGATTCTTTGAGCTGAAGCGTACCACAAACCCCTCAAAACTTCTGACTGTAAACTGTACTCCAGGCATCTTTTCCTTCCTGCTGTCTCTCACTGGGTGAACTTCACATTCCAGTTCATGTGCCATCTCCCCTATGAGGATTCCCCCATACTCCCAGGCACTAAATCACTCCACCTCTAAGCAGTCATTCACACAATACCCTGGTTCTCTTCTGGCACATTCTAGACAGGCAACAAATGTTTGCAACAGAGTTGCACAACTGAATACCTACTGACTACAAACTGTGAGCCAGATTCTGTACTAAGTGCTTTGTAAAAGGGTATATTAACATTCCCATATGGGGGGGGGGTAAAGGTCTTCCTGTCCACACAGCTAGAAAGGACAACTGGGATTAAAAATCAGGTCTAACTACTGTCTCATGATTTGCCCACCACAAGATGCCATTTCTCTCTTATATCTTAATTCTACTTACCTATTATTTCCTTTGAGGTACTGAAGCACCTCAGCATGACCAGTGGATCTCCAAAACCATCCCAATAAATATTTATTAAACAAATGAGGTCAGGCTAATTCACTCTTCCTCTCCTCAGGAGGGATTATATATGCAGTTTGAGATTATATCAATATGCCCCTTAAAAATAACAGCTAGCTGAGCTATATACCCAAAAATTGTTATAATGGCAAATTTTATGTAAGGTACATTTTATCATAATCACACACACACACAAAAGCCAAAGAAAAAGATAACACTTAAGGGCTGGGAAGGTGGCTCAGTGGTAGTAGAGTCCTTGCCTTGCATGCATGAGGCCCTGGGTTCGATTCTTCAGCACCATATAAGCAGAAAAAGTTAGAAGTGGTGCTGTGGCTCAAGTGGTAGAGCACTAGCCTTAAGCTGAAGAGCTGAGGGTCAGCACCCAGGCCCAGAGTTCAGGCCCTACGACTTGGGGGGGAAAAATGACAGTACCAGGGTTCCTAGAGGAAAGAGCCCAAGGTCACCTGGTTAAAACAAAGCAAAGATAAGAGGAAGAGCCAGAGATATTACTTTATCTCTGGCACCCTATTTCAATCAAAATAGCCCAAAGAACTGTGTGTGGCTATTACACCTTCAGAGATGACTGTGACTCTAAGAAGTTAATTGAATTTCCAGCCAGGCATGGTGGTGTATACCTGTAATACCTAGCATGGGGAAGCTAAGGCCGAAGAATCCTGAGTTCAAGACCAGCTTGAGCTACATCATGAAATCCTTTTTAATAAACACACACACACACACAGGAGTGGGGGACACTGCATACCTGTGATCCCACCTACATGGTAGAGCACTTGCCTAGGAAACCTGAATTCCAGGCTCAGAGTTCAAATTTCCGGTATCAAAAAAGAAGAAAAAAAAGGGGGGGCTGGGAAGGTGGCTCAGTGGTAGAGTGCTTGCCTTGCATGCATGAGGCCCTGGGTTCGATTCCTCAGCACCACATAAGCAAAAAGAAAAAA